ATTTGTTCTCCAAAAATGGTATTTAGTACAGATTTAATATTATGTAAAATAAATACTTATAAAAAAGTTAGTATTTTCTGAAATAAAGAGTTTCTTACGTTAAACAAATCACATGGTGTATCTTATTCCCAACATAATATTATTATAATATCGTTTTGATTTATTTATACTATTACACCATTTATGTTCCAAATCTATATTAGTAGAAATTACAGTCCTTAAATAAATTATTCCACTACACTGTGTGTGGGTGTAGGCACGTTTATTCTTTGTAGTTTATACGTTCAGTAAGATTAGACAATATGTATCAGTACAATTTGCATTTCCGATTAATGTGCCGAAACATGGACTATAATAAATTATAATATTTAGAACCTGACCAATCCTTGTCCCTGCGAAATTGAGCAATGAAATAGAAGACACCTACGGTCGCGCCATAATATGTTAGGTTTTTATAACAAATTAAAAAAAAAATGTTCGCAACTATTCATTTGGCCGTGTTAAAAGCTCGTGTACTGTGCATTAATATTACATTATTACGATTTTACTGTTCATTTTATCCGGTTTAAATTAATGTCAAATCATCAACCGAATTGTAATTTCCATTTATCCCATCGAAATACATTTCATTATGTGTTATTCATATTTTCTAGGGCGAAATCGGTTAATACGACTACTTAAAAAATGTTGTAATATAAACTAAATTATTATACCATAAAAGTCACTCTTGATTATACATTTTACATTTTAAATATTCTCAAATCATATTCTATTCTTAAGCCTAAAGAACACAAATTTCATTCGACTACGATAACGTCGTCAGGATTTCGTAAATATTCAACTTGCTACTAAATTTTATGCCAAGCTTTTTTATATTATACACCTAATACGGTCTACGATTTTGTTTTCAAGGAATTTGTTACCTGGACCACGTGGGTTCAGCATTGTACGCAGACAGTCAAATAAACAATGTGATGAAAGGTCTGAAAACGCACTTGTACGGAAATCCTCATTCAACCGGTGATCCGTCGGCAGCTTGTGAAAAACTCATAAATAGTATTCGATTTAAGTACGTAAATTTGTTAAGCGTTATTGGTACGCTTTTTTAAGTTTACATAATTCACAATAATGCAATGTCTCATGTGTCGAAATAAAACGTACAATTCAACTAAAAACTTAAACGACCGAGTGCTCGCGTTCAACCAGCCATGTTTTGCAGGTACCTCCTAATCGCATAACAACTACCAACTACGCTATATTATAAAGTGAGCACTTTACAAAATTTATTTTAAAAATTTATCACTTATGTGTTAGCTATACCGTGGTAGTTTGGTAGGTGGGCGGTAAAAAAAATACGTAGCAATTAGTAAAGTAAAAAAAAAAAAAACTATGTGGAGCATAACGTCATAATACATTAAATTATTATGGTTAAACTCTTCAAGACTTCGACAAAATGTTCAAACTTTTCAGCCGAGGCAGTGTATTACTTAATAAATTATTTTTAGAATAATCTGATGKCAACGTTTAAACGACGAAGGGATATTGTTCGGTAACGATGTCATTTATTATCTCACACCAGAATTACAAGTCATCAGTCGTACGAATTTCGGTTGGCGACATAAACAACTTGTGGATCTGACAAAATAGTGTACAGCGCACTAGAGATAAATTATACGGTGGGACAAAGCTGTTGGATTGTACATAGTTTTCGTTTAGCAAATTTTGTTTTTCAACAACGAAGCAAAATACACTTTACTTACAGATGGCTGTGCACTGTGCAGTGTGCACACTTTCTTAAAAAGCTTTTACTTAATTCGTTCTAGATAATTATTTTAAATCCGTATGAACGTAATYGCCAATTAAAGTCGTATACTTTTATAATAGTGTATAAAATTGGTTTTAAATGTCGAATGTTTTTTTARTTGATTCTAAATCGTGATGTACAATATTAAATCATATTATTATTAAGTAAATCACATATTTTTAGTCAGTCACGTATGAATTATATTATGTTTAAAACCTTACAGTGTGAGTGCATTTTKTATACATTATTTTAATGTTATAATAGGTTCAAACTATATGTAATAAAAATGAGAGTGTGTGAGTTACACTYTGGAGAAGTAAAACTTCTTTCATAAGTATTGGGTCCGTTAAATCATAAGTGAGATAGGGAAGGAGTGAAAAAAAATCCGTACAAAAACGCACTATCACACTCGGACATATAACATTTAACCATTCAAGTGATTTTTGTCGCARTCATACACACGCATTCATACACCGTTTCATTTTTTCATATCATTTCATTCTTTCGTGGCGTTTCATTTTAGATTCTGAGCGGAGCGATGAATGTATTGATTTTACCATGATGTGTGTTTTTTTTTTTTGGGCAGTAAAAATGCTTCGATTTTTGACTTCAGTACCTCGTTCGATCAGAAAGTGAATCTAGTTGGTATTTTGGGGGGTCAAAAGTAAA